CCAATTATTCAATAGGTGATTGCCTCATGTAGTGAATTGGCGATAAGTGTCATGGCTAGTCAAATCATATCGACATGAATACTTAAATCTTCGGGTGGAAGATGCTCGTTAGCCCAACAAGTAACAGCCCTTAGTCTAGTAATCATCTATTTTGTTCCAAGAGATTCTAAATTTAAATCTCACGATTACAATTGTGAGATAAAAAAAAAAATCATCTCCCTCCTGCATAATAACCAATATGAAATTTTAAGGCATCAGAGAATTTGAATAACCAGCAAAAAGCCATTGTCATAGTCATGATTGATCCCTAAGAACATCTGGCGTGGAGTTTGGGTAGCTGATCACAAGGCATATCTGGCATATCTTATTAACTTCTTTACATATATGTTATACTAACAAGAACTAAGATAGGATTACAAGGGTTGGTTCAGAATTCAGATATAGGATTCTATTCTAGCATGTCTTGTTTTACAAGCTACAACCCTTTTGGAATATATAAACCCACGTACCATGTCCTGCAGGTAACAAATTTTAGTTCGCCAAATTGTCGGTGGAAGATGGCGTGGGGTTTAACTTTAATAGAGCATCCTACGTATAGTGGCGGAATCAAAAGTTCTGTTAAGGAGTGTCAGTTTTAAGTGACTATAAAATTATGATAATTAAGCTTATATATGAAAATTACTTAAAACATGATCATAAGTATCAACCTATTTAGCATAAAAAATGTTCCAAATTTCCAACCTTGATATCGTTATGATTTAATTAATCACATTATAGGAGATGACGCTTTATAACAATGACGAAAAACAATCATACCTATATGCACCTTGGTGTGAATTCGAATAAAAATAATTGGAAAGAGTATGAGGACATGAACTTATATATCATTTATTTGATTAAGAGGCAAAGAATGAAATTATGAATTAGGTGTTAAACCCTTAACCATGAGCAAATTACATTTGTGAGGAGGGTCAACTATAAATATAAAAACCAAACTACATCAATCTCTAGCATATATTAATACAACACCTCGAATTGTGAGAAGGTTCGTATGACCTCCTAAGCTTTAGCTAGTTCCACCAGTGCCTACATACGAGATTCTCTCTTGCAACCAAGATATAATTTTTATGACGCTACTTTTCTAATAAATGTTTGTTACGTATTTAAAAAGTAAATAAACTATTCAATATATAAATGCTTGCCACATGTAATGAATTGGCGACAAGTATAAGTAGTCAAATCAAATTTACATGCGTACTTGAATCTTCGGTGGAAGATGCTATTTAGCTCAACAAGTAATAACCATTAGAGATTCTAAATTTAAATCTCACGATTGACAATTGTACGATTAAAAAGTTGGATTATATCCCTCATGCATATATAGCCAATATGAAGTTTAAAAGTATAAGAGAATCCGAATAACCAGCAAAATGCCATTGTCATGGTCATGATTGATCCCTAAGAACATCTGCTATGGATTTTAGGTAGCTGTTCATAGGGCATATCTTATTAACTTTTTTATGTATATAAATGTTATGATAACAAGAACTAAGACAGGTTTTACAAGTTACAAACCCTTTTGGAATATAACCCATAAAAAGTTCTGATAAAACTTCTAGCTACAAATTTAACTACCACACATGAATAAGAATTTTAAGAATCTTCAAGTAGCATATTCTTTTTAAATGGGTACGTGCTCATCTGTCAATCTTATCAAACTTTGAAGCTAAACACTGCTAGATTGTAACTGGGTGGTTAACTAACAGAGGTAATGAATGAAACTTAATTACAAAAATAGAGCATGTAATTTCTGACAGACACTGTTCGAATCAATAAAATACAAAAAACTCATGCCAACAAAACCATGATCCCGAGTTAGGTAAATATGTATTGGAGCACCAAATATATTAATGGTTATCTACATGTATAAACTATGAAAATTGAAAGATAACTATGAGAAGAAACTAACAAAAGGTCTATGTGATTATGTTTCTTTTCAGTGCAAGAGTGTGCTAGTAACCTGCAGATTTATTTGAATGCTTCTTCCCATGTTGTGTATCCTGAGAGCACTACTTGGACATATGCAGTGGTCTTATGTGGATGACAGAAGCCACATAACCAATACTTGTTGGCCACCCCCACTACTTAACGCTCCCCATTACATATTTCATTGATTTGACATCTTTTTGGTCTTCATCAGAAAACGAATTCCATATATAGATGCAATTCATTTCAATTTTTTCTTTTGTAATGTAGCTTTCATAATTTTGGCGCAGCAAGGATTAGGAGGTTTTTATTTCGGTGTCTATGCATGCAGGCGATGCTTTTTGAATATCTTTTTATTATCCTAAGTCAATCATGTTCATATCCCACTACTAAATATGACTGGAAAAAAGATAAACAGACAGTCACATTTGGACAAAGTGAGTGAGAGCTTCGTTCACCAAATGAAATAGGACATCCATAAACAATTCAACCTAGCCTTTTCCTTTTAGACCAGCTAATATAATGCAATTGGGAATGTCCTAATCATACTTTAGTACTACTTTTCTTAGTGTATCATTCACGTTTTTCTACACTGTGCAATATCACTATAAGATTTGTATTTAATATCATTGATCATGAGACTAATTGATCATGCGACTAATTTTTTATTTTATTTTGATTGATTACTAGTGGTAAAAAATGGGCCAACAACTATTAACATTCAGCAATCCAACAGAAAAAGATTAGTATTAGTTAGGGGCACAACTTGGGTTGGGCCAACTCGAACCTGTCCATGTTCAACCCGACTTTAAATCCGAATAAGCGTATTTTTTCTTAGTTATATCCCGCCCGAACCTTACCCAATTTCAACCCGTTCATTTATTGGGTTGATCATTTACCCAACCCAACCCGATTAACCAAACTTGATTGGGTTGAGTTGTGCAAAATGCTTCTCAATGATCTTTGCACCTTCGTGGAGGATTCACTAATGACTTTTGATGGATTATGATAAAAAAGTGCATGGAGTTGCAGAAACCAATTGTTTTTTTGGCAACCACACTTTGATTTTTGCTCAAATGAGGCTTGTAATCTATGGCCGGTTGGGTTCTAACTTTGTTTTTCTGCAGGAGCTTTGAAGGATAAGACTTGAGTTGGGTACTAGCTTTGGGCAATGAAGTGTTCCTTTTTTTTTTTTTTTTTTTCTTTTGGTACTAGCTTTTGGTACTTCTTGTATTTTAATTCAAACTTTGTATGAACCCGATTAAACTTGAAAAAGTTGGACAACTCGAACCTAACCCAAGTAAACCCGAACCTGATCAAAACCTAACCCCAACCCGATCCCGAATTGTAAAAGTTGGGTTAGGATTGGGTTAACCTTTCAACCCGTTCAAGTTGCACCCCTACTATTAGTTGTTAGCTTGTTATATATGACCAACGATGATCCTTGATGTGAATTAGCATATGTTATGATCATGGTTAAAAAGTAGACCATACGTATCAAAGTTGAAAGGAATAAGAGTAGTAGATATATGTCCCCTCTAAATTCCTCCCCTCCTGTTCCCTCCTCTCATACATTTTTCTTTTATTTTTTTTTCTATAAAGAAGTCAAAATCAGATGTTAACGTGTCTTAATTTGTTCAAATAAGAGGAAACTGAAAAGGAGAGAAATTTAGAGAAAAAAAATCCTACTCCGAAATGAAAACGGCTCTCTATATATTAACATTAATCTATCCCTGAAATTAATGGGCAGTGCGTGCACAGTTCTTCACTACTCATGAAGAAGGCGTGCTCTTTCTTCCTTCGTTACTTCACCATTTATCATTTCTTTTCTCTCCTGCGCCTTGTCAGACTCTCACAATCTTATGCTGCCCCTCCACTCTTTATGTTAGCCCTGCATTTGGGTCTAAATATCATTAACACCCTTCGAATTTTGTGTGGTACAGAAAAGTAATTTACAATGTGACGAAAAATCCACTTGAGAATTGTATACACAAATCCGAAAATATCCAGTCTCATCATCATAAGCGGTTGCGTTGCCCTAGTTTTCTTAGAAATATGATAACAACCCAAATGTTATTTAAGGCGGTGTTATCTACACACTTCTTTTTATTTTCCACACATACTTTTTAATTTTTGATCATCAGGTCAAATGAATTAAAGATTATCAAATGACATAAATTAACATGGGGTGTGTGGATAGCACCACATGCCCCCTATTAATTTAAGGAAAACTAATGAAAATGGCTTGAAAACTTTGAGTTTTAATGATAAAGACAAAATAAAGGGTAAAGTGAATAGTACCAGGATTGACTTTTTAGTGTAAAAATGTGGTTTTTCGTTAAAGTGAACAGTACCGGGTGCTTTCGTTAAAGTTCCCATTAATTTATGGCATTTAATCATCTTTAATTCAGTCGATCTAATGGCCTTAAATACTAAAAAGAGATGTATGAATAACACCACTCTTTTGTTTAATTCTTTAGATACATTATAATTAGTCTTAATTTGAGTTCATATTTTATTGGGATGCATGCCAAGAATAGTTGGTGCTCATTGTTTAGGCCTTTTAAGCAAATGGAACTTATTACTTCAAAACGCAAAACATACAAAGATAGCATGCAAGGAGTTGAGCCATGTTACTACTACATATTCAGTTGCATATGCAAGGAATTGGGCCATGTTGCTACTACAACTTCAGAACCAATTTAGTTTTCTTTGTGACATGTATTTCTGTTTTTTAAAGCAACAATTACTCAATTGCGTCCAACTTAATACCATCATAATTGACATACCTCAGCAGTTGATGATCAGCCATAAAAGAAACGTATATGGACAATATATCCCACCAAATTGGCGTATCGGGTTCTAACAAAAATTCATTGGAAAAGGAAAGCCAAAAATTAAAAAGAAAAAAGCCAATAAAGAAACACAAGGGAAAAAGGAGGTTTGCAGATTGGAAAATAAAGCACATACACACTAGGCTCATGCCTGTAATTTAGCAATAAAGTGGGGGGTCTGCTTTCCCTACTTTGATATTGTTCGTTTTTGTCCTTGTTGGCCATGGATTTTTTTTTTCAGGTTTGTGCACTGCATTACGCATTTAATCAAGTCCACATTCATTTCCTTCTGTAAACTTATTATATATATAGCTGCTCAAGAACCTAAGTGGAGAGAAAGTTAATATTATTATAAGATCGCAAGGAGCAGCCGAAGCCCTAAACAAACAAAGGCGCAGAGAGAGAGAGAGAGAGAGAGAGAGAGAGAAACTACGAAAGAAAGAGATGGAATGGAGAAAATGCTACTTGGATGTCATTCTTGTACCACTAGGGTTTCTCATAACTGTTTCTTATCATGCTTGGTTATGGCATAAAGTTCGGACTGACCCACGATCTACCATCATCGGCATAAACACCAGCGGACGACGATTCTGGGTCTCGGCAATGATGAAGGTACGCATTTATATCTTGCATTCTAAGATACGCAATAATATTTTGCATTCTATGCTAAATTATGGTGGAGAAGGGGGTGAATTTTAATTTTCTCTAACGTAAAGAACATCCCTGCACATTTCATTAATCCAACGTGAGATGTAACCAACAGAGCATACACCAGGGTGACTTATTAGTGGGGATTAATCTTTGGTTTATCATTTTTAGCCACAAGTAAAAAGTTAAAAAGTAAAAACCATTTAGAAGTGCTTTCTCGAGCATCACATAGTTCACTTTTATTTTATGGTACCGGAAGTATATGACATGGTAATTAGGGAAATCAAAGTGGCTAACAACATATATTGGATAAGTGAGATTAATTGCATGCCACCATACATATATCCTTTCTTCCACTTCAAGAACCCACTCAGCTTCTGTATATTGCATCACACGTCAGCTCCAACATTAGTAATGCTGTATCCACATGGCAATTTATGGCATCATGAAACGGTCAGAAGCTAAGCATTAATCATTGAAGCAGATTTATATTAGTTAAGATGGTTAAAACAGTTTATTTTTTGCTACTTGGTATTTCTCTTTACTTGTAAGTAAGAGGTCTTAGATTTAATTCTCGCCAAAGATGAATTTGAAACACATTATTGCTAGCCTATTGTGAGGTTTAGCCCACTCCCTCACCCCTTTAGTGTGGATAATATCGTTTGTTCAAAAAAGAAAAGTGTATTTTTCTGCACTTAAGTTGGGTTCTCTCTTTCGGTAGCTTAAATAAATTTAGCATAGAGTATTGCTAGTATAAAAAAATAAAAAAATCATCGGAAAATGTATATATTATGTGGTTGCAACTTGATTATTGATAAAGTTGATCTTTTACCAACGTTCTGATATAATTGCGTCAATTGTCAATCTTGATTACCGATATTAGCACATATAACATGTAAGATAATGAGCAGTCAATAGTTTTAAATTGTCGATCACTACTCTAAAATGATATCTTTTTTTTTCCCTCATCTTTGACAGGACAATGAAAAGAAGAATATCCTGGCCGTCCAAACCCTTCGTAACACGATCATGGGATCAACCCTAATGGCCACTACATCAATCCTCTTATGCTCCGGCCTAGCAGCCGTGATCAGCAGCACATACAGTGTGAAGAAACCGCTCAATGACACTGTTTACGGAGCTCACGGGGAATTCATGGTTGCTTTAAAGTACGTTTCCCTACTCACAATTTTCCTCTTCTCATTCATGTGTCACTCGCTTTCAATCAGGTTCATAAACCAAGTGAACATCCTAATTAACAGTCCACAAGACCCCATGTCCTTGGTGACTCCAGAGTATGTGTCTGAGCTTTTAGAAAAGGGTTACTTGTTAAACACTGCGGGGAACAGGTTGTTTTATGCAGCACTGCCTCTTGTGCTTTGGATATTTGGACCGGTTTTGGTGTTTTTGTGTTCTGTCACAATGGTTCCCGTGCTTTACAATTTGGACTTTGTGTTTAGTAGTAGCACTGAGAAGAGAAAAATGGATATTGGTAATGAAAATAGGGATGAATTTGTATGAATTCGGCATATTCCAAAGTGAAGATGTTTGGTGCGTGCATGGTTCAATCATGCTGAAGAAATTGTAGAAATTAAATCCAAGAATTGTCAACTTTGAAGTTTGATGATCCCCTTGATATGAAGTATTAATGAATTCCATATTGTTATTCATTTCAGTTTTGGCTAGTACATAGCCATATAAATTAATCGATCCTTTTGAAACATATAAATTGATCAAGAAATTAAATAATGTAAAGGTTAAGGCTGATGCAATCGATCTCATTTATTACCTTTTGAAAAAGGTGCAAATTTAGAAAAACTGTCGACTTGAAAGATTTCAAATACTATTTGTTGGGGTAAGTTCAGCTTGAGCAGCTGTCAAAACTCAACTAAAGTTGTATTCTTTAAATAAAAAATGGCTAAAATTTAAAAGAAAAATAACGAAAGGTCTACTTTTTTTTTTTTTAGTTTTAATTAAAAAATGATAAATAAAGGTGTATTGAATGATACCAGACAAAAAATTAAAAATTTCATTTTTCGTTAAAAATTAACATTAGTGAAAATGTTTTGTTAAAACTCACCAAATTTGATGTTTTTGCTAATTATGGACCAGGATCCTCTGGATCATTCTCTGGGGATTCCGTGAGAATCAATTTATATTGACCCTTCAACAGACATCTTATGGCTTGAAATTATTTAAAATTATTTTCCTTTTTTCAGCCGTTCTCCGTTCTTTGGCCTTCTAACCTATGCATTCTTTTTTTTCTTTCCCATTCCAAAAACCAAGGATTAACCAAATTAAGATCAACCCATAAAATTAACCAGAAGTGCAAAAGACTTCTCATACTCAAGAATTAATCCATCAATTTTCCAAAAAACCACAAATAAAATATTTATTGGCTGCAGTGCTTTCAAGCAAGAATAGGGAAAAACAAGACGGAAATGGAGTTGGGAAAATTTTCAAGGGCAAACTCCATGGATGATGAAGAATTTTGAATTCTTAGACTATCTCCAATCGAAAGGTCCAGGGGGCCAAAAGATTGAAAATAATCCAAAAACTGTTTCCAACCAAGGGTTAGGCCAAATGGCTCATGGGCCCCACTAGACAAAAAAGGGCCAAAGAACCAACCGGGTGGCCCAACTCAGCCAGCCCTGGGCCGGGGCAGAATTTTCATTATTCCTGTTGGTTATATCCGATAACATTGTACTTATTCCTGTCATTTATATCTGACAAGAATGATAGGCCAAAATTTCAAATACAATGCTAGCTGACGTCAGCTACTCGTTATTTTTGAATTTTTTTTCTATAACTTCCTAAGCCATTATATAACATTAAATTAAATTAAGTAACATGAAACAACATTAAACAATATGAAACAACATTAAATAACATTAACCAACATAAAAATTATATTTGACCCTATGACCCTTTGATTCTATGTGGGAGACGATTTTGTATGATAGGGCTAAAACAAGCTATTTGCCCTCGGTTGAAGCTAAAGGCAAATAAGGGCTACCTCGTTCTGTTGGAGATGGTTTTAGAAATTGAAGATGGAGAACTCTGAGTCTCACACACCACCATCGCTCTGACTTTGAACAAACGGATATAGAGGAAGAAGCAAATCGGTCTGATAGGCATATCATTGGTCCTTTTCATTTTCCCCTTCGATCCCTCCGCCGGTGACTGATCTGATCCTCGCCGGTGGCAGGGAGATGAAGACGAGCTGCTGCTAGCGAGGGCGAGGGTTACGAGGTTCCCGCTGAGCCTTTTCCCTCATCCCCAAACCTCTGCTGAGGATTACTTGGTCGCGAGGGCTGCTAGTCTCTAGGGCAAGCTTGCAAGGGTTGTTGGGTATCTGAGTTTTGGGGAGAGAGGAGTAGGAAATAAACCAGCAGGAAGGGAAGAAGGAAGAGGCGGCGCCGCTTTTGTCAAGAAATAAATTTAAAAATTGAGACCGCACGATTGCATCTGTTTTGAATCAACGGCCGCATATGATGTTGACCGCTGGCTCCGCATAAAAAGATCCGGATGGGATCAGAGTCCGCTAATTATATGTAATAAATAGGAAAAACTTGACGGTTAAGTACATATCAATACGACAGATAGCCTATATATTACATATATCTAGCTCAACTACATGACTACTAAATTATATACACTGATGATATTAAAGCTGCATGTAATTTAACCTAATTTACGACAAATACAGGAAATAGTTAAAATAGAATAGTTGAAAAACAAAGGATGAGAATATCCGAATAGCTTTGCATAATCCCGCATTATGGGACAAACATATCGGATCTTTCCAATGAGTCATTTATCCTCCCATCTTCCTCTTGTCATTTCCTCTTCAATCACTCATCAGTTCTTTTTGTACTGACAGATGATTAGTATATACGGTAGGCTAGGCTAGGCTACTAGCTAGCTAGAATGACTTCATGTGTAATCGTCAAAAACCTAAGAATCAAAACAAGAAATTCTTTTTAACCAACACAGGGTTGTCGTCAAGCGGTTGAAAATAAATTCCAGGCTCGTATCTTATATAGTAATTGTTTAGTTTAATTTTTGATACTGATGAATCACACAAGAGATGACCACGAAGAGGCTGAGATGTTTCTGTAAGTCTTGATTAAAATCTCTATAATCTCATAAATGGAACCACAAATCAAGTGAGATTTCCGCAAACTTGTGGAGTTCCCTAAGAAGCGATGCAGGTCGAGATTTTTAGACTTTTAGTCGTGTAAAATTACAATTAAGAAAGGATTTTTATTTTAAAAAGTGATTCATTGGTAGCTATTGAGTTTATATTTTATTTGTTTTGAACTTTTGGACGTGAAGTTCATCCAGTAGCTCAACAAGCTGTGTTTACAAGAAAGCTGTGTTTGTTAGCCGGAAGGTTGTGAGCTTTTTGAAAGAAGCGATATAATGCTTCATTACTGAGAACAATCAAGTACAACAATCATTACTGAGAACAATCAAGTACAACAAGTGGGTATATGATCTCTAGTGAACCATTTTTTTGATTTGGAGAGAATTCCCAACCACTGGACGACTAAAACCAAGAAAGTTGTACTAATTGTCTCGAGCTGGTTTTGGCAGAGTTAAGTTTGTTGTTTTACTTTAATTTCATAATAAGTAACTTATTACGATATTATTTTCAACTAAATTAGGATTTTTTATTTAACCCTAATTTAATTAAAAGTAAACTATTCTTTATATCTCACGGTTAAACATCTCTAAAGTAATCTTCTATGAAGGTGTTAAAATGCATGAAATAACATTTTGGAATAATGGTGAAATTAGGCTAGTCAAATTTCTTGTTCAAAGTTAGGCAAGTTAGGTTAGTCAAGCAAGATAGGTAAGTTAGGCAAAATTAGGCTTATGATCTTTTTCTTCCCTATATATATGTTTCATCTTGTAATTGTTTCATTAAGAAAATATACATCAAAATTCAATATGGTATCAGAGCTGTGATCTGGGAAAAATCACAAAACACAGCTCTAAAGCAGCCACGAGGCCAACCATTCTAAGCATGGCCTCTCATTCAAAATGGGAAAATCCCAACCACCCGCTCTATCTCCACCACTCGGATCAACCTGGTGCAATCCTCGTACCACAACTATTGGTGGAAGACAACTACAACACATGGGTTCAATCCATGAGTATGGCCTTAACGGTCAAGAACAAACTTGGTTTTGTTGATGGAACGATCAACAAACCAAGTGAGGATAATTTTGAGGAGCTGCAGCAATGGAATCGCTGCAACAACTTGGTCAAGACATGGCTACTAGGCTCCATGTCAAAGGAGATTTCAGGGAGTGTCATCAACTACAAGGATGCTCGACAAATGTGGACCGATCTGCAGGAGAGGTTCTCACATGTGAATACAGTTCAGCTGTTCCATGTTGAGAACGAGATCCACGATTGCGTCCAAAGCAATATGAGTGTAAGTTCTTACTTCACTAAACTTAAAAGTTTATGGGATGAACGTGATACTTTGTGTTCCATTCCAGCATGCAGTTGTGGAACAAAGAATGAGATGAACTCATATGTTGAAACTCAGAAAACCATGAAAGTTCCTTATGGGACTGAACGAATCGTATGCTACGGTTCGAAGCAATACTCTTCTTCTCGAACCATTGCCTACGATGAACAAGGCATATGCGTTGGTCCTTCGACATGAACGCCAGGCAGAGGTTTCCAATGGGAAAAGCACACAACTAGAAACTGCTGTCTTTGCAGTGAAGAATCTGTCGCGAGAACCTACACCTGAAGACAAGGAGATGCGATGTGGAAAGTGCAATAAAACCAATCACATCACCAAAAATTGTCGTGCACATCTCAAGTGCACTTTTTGAGGATGGAAAGGCCACACCTTCGATTTCTGTCGAAAACGGAAAGCAGCCACAGAAACCGAATCCAATCGTCTCTTTTCTTCAAAGGGGAATCAAGTTTCACAAAGTAACAAGCAAGAGACAGTGCCTAATTTCCCGTTCTCTCAGGAGGACTGCAAGCAAATCCTTCAGATGTTGAACAAGAACAAATCATCATTTGCCAATCAATTCAATAATCTTCCTAGTCATGAAGAACTTTCAGGTAAAGCCTTCTCTTTTTCATGTAAAGGAACCAAAAGTATTTGGATCCTGGACAGTGGTGCCACGGATCACATAGTTTGCAGTCCTAGTCTCCTTACACACTCACGAGCTGTTGAAAATCATACAGTTGAACTGCCAAATGGTTTCGTTGCCAAAGTCACTCACATTGGACAAGTTGTTTTCTCTCATAATCTTATCCTTGAAAATGTCCTATGTGTGCCGTTCTTTAGGTTGAATTTAATATCTATGAGTAAACTAGCCTATGATTCCTTATATGTCACCATTTTCTTCACCCAATTTTGTGTCATTCAGGACCTTCGCTCAGGGAAGATGATTGGGACAGGAACTGAAAGGGATGGACTTTACTACCTCGACCCATCAAAGAAAGGAACATGCAACAATATTCAAACCGTCTCACCAAAGCTTTGGCACCAACGCCTAGGACACCCATCTCATAAAGTCATTTCGTTATTACCTTTATTTAACAATAAGGCTTGTGATTTGGAAAAATGTTTAATTTGCCCATTGGCCAAACAAACAAGATCACCCTTTCCTTTGAGCTCTATTTCTACCAA